ATAAACAACATCTGAGGAACTATTAAAGACAAAAACCATTAATTTTAAAAAAAGTCTAAAAAAATAAATAAAAAAATAAAAATACGTACAAAAAAATATTATTTTTATTATTTGTCTTTACATTTCTACTTCTATGAGCCTTTTGTTTTATGGATTCATTTTTGATTAATATTACTTTATATCACCACATTATTTATTTTATTTATTCTTCTTTTTATTTCCATTTTTATTGTATTATTCTTTTATTGATTTATTTCTGTAATTTGGCGCTCTCACTGCTCCATAAACAACATCTGAGGAACTATTAAAGACAAAAACCTGAACGTTTCTCTGCATTTCTCATCATGACACTGATTTATAATCCTGGACAAGTCGATGAAATAATCCCTGATCATGGGCGAATCAGAGAAACGTGAAAAGTTCCATCTGTTCAACTGTTATGACCGACTGAAGCACAGACACTGAAACACTGGTCGTCATCCCATTCTGTAAAATATGGACACACTTTTCATTTCAGAGCCACTTTATGAACACAGAGCTGAATTTATTCTCCTGATCACCGTCAGACAGGATCTAAACAGATTGTCTGCTCTGTTTGTAAGTGAGAGCTAAAGTCACAGCTGGACTCTGAGCGTTAAAACGAGACAACACACCAACGGTTTGTCGTAGCTATATGTGGAGAACTAGTTCAAAGCTCCACGACTCTGCTTAGTGTCTGTGGCACAACCTGTCAAAGCTGCTCAGGGAATATTACTGGATGTGGTTTCTGTGGTGACCCATTTCATGTCAAAGGTATTCTGTACTGAACCAGAGATCATTAGATTCTGAATCGATGTTAACGTTTCAGATGTCTTTCTACCGTAACGTCTGGACAATAAGCAGCTACTTCGTCCACACGTTCTGAACGCTGCGGCTGAAACGACGACGCGGCTAATTTATGGATTTTTATCATTTTTATGAATTTGCCTCGAGACCAAAGTGACGCTGAGAGCGACGACGACAGAGAGGAAGTGTGACTGTTCCAGGAATGATCAGCTGATCGGTGAGTGTGTTCGTGTCCTGACCAGGGGCTGATCCTCATGAAGGGAATCGGAGCGCAGGTGAAGAAGACGGTCATCAGGAGGAAGGACTTCCTGCCCCAGATGTCCGACAGAGCGCCGATCAGAGGAGCCGACAGGAACGAGAGGAAACCCTGAGCACAGACGGAAACAGACGAACACGGCGTGGAGTCAGAGGAGGAGCTCTCCACACACTGGTCTGATCATCAGTAAGGTGTTGAAACATCTGGTTAGAAAACATGAGAACCTGCTGCTGCTCTGGTCTCATATTACAGCACATTAGAGATCCGTGGGTTCTGAACCGTGGTTCTTAAAAGGTTCTTCGTCAAGTGAAGAACTTCTACGTCTTCAACTACTTTATGTGGTTCTTTAAACCACTGAAACTGGAGTCATATGGTGGCGGGAGAATTATCTTCATTATCAATTATGTCGTCGTCTCTGTCCAAGAGCCCAAAACATGAAACGTGTTCTGATGGAAGGAACCCACCCACGTTTACGGTTCAAACATAAAAGTCCTTCATCAGTTCACCTCCAGCTGTCAGATCATTTAAATTCAATTCAAAGTATCTGCTTAATCTGAGGTGCTTTCTGTCCCTCCACATGTTCTTCACAGTGTCACGCTGGCATTCGTTCAGTCGTACCTTCACTCCCTGAACCAGGCCGTTCATCAGGAAGGTGTGCTGAGGAAACGTCTCATGGAGGACCTGAAACAACAGCACAAGGTCACACCAGCAGCAAACAAAACACACACTCTGCTTTGAGGCTT